ACACGAAGGTCCTCTAGCTGGTGCAAAAGTGCAAGTGAGTCTGGAAGGTGCGAGGGTGAAAACCGTAGTAAAGGGCGGAGGTAGTGGTCTAAGACTGCCGATGCATGCTCAAAAACCCAGAGCGTGGACGAGCAGATAGGCCTGCCGGCTACTGGAGTCTTGTGCAGCTTCGGTAGCAAGTAGAATCTGCACACCCGAAACCGCTCCCAAGCCCTGGTAGCCCGCTCCAAACACGGAGTGCGCGGCTGCAGGATAAAGTCTAACACCTGCGACGGCAACCCTGCCAAGCGTGCCTGCTCTGCCCACCGACACAACTGCCCCCAAAGTCCCTGCAACGGCACCATAGCCACCGGCTCGTAAACCGCCCTGTCCCCCAGCTGCCTCAGCGCCTCCCCCTCGTACCACTCCCTGTCTAACACCGCAATCCCAAGGTTTTTGTCGGCCGGTTTAATAACTATAGACCGGTCCCGACTCAACCTCTGCAGCGCGCCCAACACCCTCCTGCTCACGTTGGGCCGCGCTGGCCCCCCTATCAGCTCCGACAAACCCTCTACCCTGTCAGCTACCCCGGCCAGGTACTCCTCAACCTCCTCTGGTCCCGAACTCGGCTGCCAGCTGGGACGTGGGACTCTGAACCTGGGTACTGGTCTGCGACTGTCCCGGAACTGCCAAGCCAGCCTGACCCTCCTCTGAAACTGCTCCACCGCCTGTCTCAGCTGCTCCTGGTCTAAGGAGGGTGGTGTCGGGATGAACTTGAGGCCAAGGGCGAGGCCTGCAAGCTCATCCTCTGACAACTGCCTGCGCGAAAGGTTGTGGACAGCCACGTTAGTTAGCTTGTCCGCCACCTCCTGCACAGAGCGCCTAGCAAACAGTCTCAAAAGACGGTCGGTGTCACTCTCCTCCAGCCTCCTACGTGGCCTACTCCTCCTCCTAAGACCGACCTCCTCCCCCACGACTCCCTCTACTGCCTCGCCTGCCCCTGCTGCTCCCCCTGACCCTGTGGAGGCTGCTGTGGCAGGGGGGGCTGTGGGGGGGTCGGAGGAGGTGCTCCAAACTGCTGCTGCCGGAGGGGTGCTCCAAACTGCTGCTGCTGGAAAGAAGGCCCCAAAAAAGGCTGCTGGTAGAACTGCTGCTGCGCAGGTGCGCCAGAAAAGGGAAGGTACGAGGGACCCTGGAAGAAGGAGCCCTGGTAGGGGCCGAAAGAGGACCCCCCCTGTCCGTACTGCCAAGAAGGCTGCTGCTGCAGGCCGTAAGGACTGAACGGCTGCTGCTGCTGCTGCAGGCCGTAAGAGCTAAACGGCTGCTGCTGCTGTGCTAGGCCCTGGTAGGTAGACTGGAACGGCTGCTGTGACCAACTGTCACGGTCCTGCCACCCGCCGTCCAGTCCACCCCTCCCCCAACGACCTCCCCGGTCCCAACGTCCTCCTCTACCGCCTCTGCGGTCCTGGAAACTCGTGGAGCCACCGCCGCCCTTCCCCTTGCCTCCCTGAGTGGAGGCAGGGGCCTGCTCAGACTGACGTGTGGTCCCGGTCTGCTGCTGCTGGGTCTGCTGCTGCTGCTGCTGCTGCCGCTGCTGCTGCTGACCCTGCTGCTGCTGCCCCTGACCCTGCTGCTGCCCCTGACCCTGCTGCTGCTGCCCCTGGGTCTGTGTCACTGGGCGCTGCTGGGTCGTGGTGGCTGCTCCCTGACCCTGGGAAGGCTGTCCTGCTGCACCCTGTGTACCTGCAGTCTGTGCACCCGCTCCCTGAGTAGGCTGTGAGCGGCTGCCCTGTCGGCCCTGCGGAGTGCGGCTACGGACAGGAGAGACGGACTCCAGGCGTCCGTCTCCCGTAACCTCCCTAGTCCTGGTCCTGCCTCGCTGCTGCTGGCCTGACTGCCCTGAGCGCCGCCCCTCCAAACGGTCAAGTCGCTCGAGGATGCGACGAAGCTGCTCCCGGGCCTCGTCCTGCCAGGCGCCCACCTGCCTCTCGACCTCCCTGGGGACAAACTCTCCCATGGTCTGGTCTACAGGCGTCGCCTCTGCCTGCTCACGCCGCTCCTGACGTCGCTCTCTCTGACGCTGCTGCTGCTCCACCCGCCTGCTCTCAGTGTCTGCGTACTGCCGGTGCTGCAGCCCTACACGGAGGAGTGCGTCTGTAACAGCAGCGTGGCACCTAACCCTCAGCGTCTGGATGCTCTGCCAGATAGCAGAGCGTGCCGGCTCTGCTGCAAACTGCTGCGCAAGGAACCCCACGTCACAGGCTCTCGCAAGTCGGTCGTCTATCGTCACGAGAAGCCTGTCACGCCAGGTAGTGACCCGAGTCTGAAGCTGCTGCAAGTCCTCCACCTGTCCGCTGATAAGAATCAGCTGCATCTGTCCCTGTGCGTGCTGCTGAAGCTCCTGCATCCTAGTCCGAAGCTGCTCCTGTGCCTCTGTAGTGTGGAGGTGGAGCTCAGGTACAAAGTTCTTCGGGATGCAGTGCGCCACCTGTCCCTCAAAAAACTGCTTGCGAGTCTTCGCCAGACCCCTCTCGGTCTTAACGACGGCTCGCAAGTCAGCTGCTAGTACAGCGGACTCTGTCTCTATGAGCGCTGTAAACTCTGGTGGTACCGTCTCTGCCTGGATGGCGTCCCTAATCTCCGCCACCCTGGAAAGTAGAGCAGGGTCCGTGGCAGCCCCAGCCCCTGCACCTGCTGCGCCTGCGGCTGCTGCCCCGCCTCCAGAAGTGTCTGGGAAAAGACCACCAAAGACCTGCCGAAACAGCCTCGAGGCAAGAGTGTCTGTCTGCTCTCCCCCGGCAGTAGCCTCACCCGCCGCACCGGTGGCTGTCGGCTGCTGCTGCTGCTGCTGAGACTGCTGCTGACCCTGCCGCTGCTGACCCTGCTGCTGCTGGGCCTGCTGCTGCCCCTGCTGCTGCTGCTGCTGGCCCTGCTGCTGTGGCTCCTGCTGCGACGACGGTAGCCCAAGCCGTGGTCGCTGCTGCCGCTGCTGTGCCAAGGTCTCAGCCTCCTGTCTCAGCTGCTCGCGAATGGAAGCTGCCTCCTGTGCCAACTGCTCCCTGTCACGAGAGATCATCCTAACCCAGCTGTCTATCACGGACCGGTCTCGCAGGATATCCCCCTCAATATTCCTGAGACGAAGCTGCTGCTGTATGCTGCGCTGCCACTCGGCCTGCTGCTCCAGCGCCAACTCCGTCCGTCTGTCCTCCTCGTCCCGCTCGGTCCGTCTACGAGTACGCCGAAACTGCTCAGTAATATCAGCGACAGTAGCTGGTGCACTAGTCTCCATAGCCGCAGCCGCTGATCCCCCCTGGTCTCCTGCTCTGCCGACACCGGCTCCTCCCCCAGTGCCTGCCGCTGCAGGAACTCCGAGCCCACTCATGGTGACGTCTAAAAGACTAACGAAACGGAAAAAACTAGGAGTCTGTATCGTCTACGCCACTCTCCAACACCGGCGTCAGTGCAATAGGTTTAGGGTTTGATAGGAATGCTCAAAGAACTGAGCTGCAGTGCTGCTCCAGACAGTCTAGAGTCGCTAACGAAGAAAGTGGCTGTGACGGCCTATCGGTAGAACGAGAGACTAACGGCCTAGACTGGGAGAAGTCGAGGGGCACGAGTCTCTGAAAGTCTAGCCGATGGCACTACTCTAAGGGTAGGCTAGGGCCGCCAGGGGGCAACACGAGGCTCCCCAAGCGGCAGGAAAAAACGACGACGAAAATGGCCTAGCGGAATGCAGGAGAACTGCAAGAAACTTCTAGCTAGGCAAGCAAACTGCTGAAAAAAAAACACAAGTCCTAAGCCTAGGGGTGTAGGGACATGCAATAGAGTAAGTACCTCAAGTGTAGGTAGAAGCAGTCTCGTATCGATTTCGCCACGAAGGCATCATCAGCAAGACAAGGATCTACCCTAGCAAGAGCTCCCTACTTATAGCTGTCCCAACCCAACCCAATGCCCCAAAGTGCAATGTGGGCCTAACCTGCCACCTAGGCAAAGAAACGCCCTTGCAGGCTGCCAACTGTGCAGCCTGCCAAGGGCCTACACCCAGCTGCCCATATCTCCCAATCCGGGCGCCAGATGGCGAATCCGACGGTTCCGGCAGCCTCCAGCGCCTACGGGGCTTATGGTCCGACATATAATATACAGGGTAACCGTCGGGTCCGGGTGGCGAAAACCGGAACATGCAAACAGTCCTGTTCGGGTGCCAGCCCGGCGCTCTCCAGATTCGCGCGAAACCAGAGAGCGTACCACTAAAACGCGCGTAACTCAGCGCTCGGTGCTCCGTTCGGGGCGTGTGAAGGCTCGTCGAAGAGCCCTTCATCAGCCCTACACAGTGAGACGGAGACCTGCATGTAACTAACAAGCTAACCCCCGAAACTAGAAAGAGGCCTAGTCACCCTCTCGCGTGCTGTGCCCCCTGGTACTCATAAAGGTCGGGGGCGTGTCAAGTACATGTGCCATGTGTCATGGTACCCCGAATCCCATAGATCCCCACTACGTGCAAGAGGAGAAAGGCACCCCTGTGCTCATATGGCCAGAGGTGGGGAAGGTACAATGCACATGCTACCAAAACCCAAGTCCCGTGCAAAGAGGAGAAAGGCATCCCAGTACTCATAACGGTCTGGGATGGGGAATGGTACAAGTGTGCAAGTGCGTAACCCACAAATACAACCCACAACGAACGCAGAGTGTAGTCGCAGGTACACTCACACTGCCCCAGGGCCTGACCTGTGTGGCTGAAATCAAAGAAGTCAGGCGGGAGGCTGTCGTGCATCCCTGGGTCCAGCCTGTGTGAGAAAACGAAGAGACTGGACGGGGGATGGTGCTGCTGCGACGGCCCAACCAAATGCAGCACGCCGCTGCGAAGTGCAGAAAGGTGCTCGCTCCAAGGCCCCACCCGTGTGCACGTGCTGTGAAACAAGGAGGAAGGGCGGGGAGGCGGCAGACGACTAACCGAGACGGCACGACACCCACAGAAGACAAGTGACGTGCTGTGCGGCGACGGCGAGAGAGGGGCACCCCAGTCACCTGAACGACGCTCGCACGAGTAGCTGTCGGAGCGACGGAGGTGCCCTGTAGGACACGAAAGGTGCCCTGTAGTGAGAAAGCTGCTCAAACGCTGGTGCCTCTGGAGGGAAGGCCAGCAACCTACCCCAGCGGACCTGCTGCACACTCGGGTGGAAGTCGAGAACAAGAGGGAGAACCCGCTGCTGCGCCTCCTGTTCCCCCTCCCCCCGAGCCCGTGACCTGGCAAGAAGCTCCGGGCGTCGTGCGTAGGAGATGCTGCTGAAGATCGGCTGCAAGAAAGTGTCTGGGTACCTCCGCGCCCGCAGCCGAGCGTAGAAGGCCGACCTGATACTCCTAAACCCTCGAGAACTGGACTCCCTCAGAATGTACCGCTGCAGCTCACCCAAGATGAAGCCCCTCTTGCAGTGAGAGGGGTGCGCGGAGGAGAAAGGAAAGTACTGGTACACGTTGAGCGGCTTCTGGAAGGTCGTGGTGTCCAAGATAGCCGTCGTCTGCCAGAGCTCTCCCTTGCTGAACGTGATATCCAGCAAGGTGAACTGTGAGGTGGAGATCTCGTGGGTCAGTCGAATAGTCTGCTCCAACCCACCAAACGCCCCCACCCACTCCAGCAGCCGCTCCCGTGTCCCCGTCCAAACCACCACCCCGTCGTCTATGAACCTGCGGTGGAGAAGGACGTGCTGCGACAACTCGGGCTCTGTCTCTAGCAACCTCTCGTCTAACCAAGCCATGAACAGAACCGCGTAGATCACTGCTACAGGCGTGCCCATAGCAGTCCCCCGAACCTGCCGCCAAAAACGACCACCAAACTCGAGGTGGTTCTGCCTCATGACCAACCCCAACAGCTGCACCAGTGTGTCTGCTACCCCCCCTGAAATCCTCTCCTGTGCTGCCCACCGAAGCAACCACCTCTCGATGCAGCTGATACCTGCGTCGATAGGGATCGACGGGTAGAGGCTCTCAACGTCGTAGGTCAAGAAGAGAGCCTCTGCTGGCACACGAAGGTCCTCTAGCTGGTGCAAAAGTGCAAGTGAGTCTGGAAGGTGCGAGGGTGAAAACCGTAGTAAAGGGCGGAGGTAGTGGTCTAAGACTGCCGATGCATGCTCAAAAACCCAGAGCGTGGACGAGCAGATAGGCCTGCCGGCTACTGGAGTCTTGTGCAGCTTCGGTAGCAAGTAGAATCTGCACACCCGAAACCGCTCCCAAGCCCTGGTAGCCCGCTCCAAACACGGAGTGCGCGGCTGCAGGATAAAGTCTAACACCTGCGACGGCAACCCTGCCAGGCGTGCCTGCTCTGCCCACCGACACAACTGCCCCCAAAGTCCCTGCAACGGCACCATAGCCACCGGCTCGTAAACCGCCCTGTCCCCCAGCTGCCTCAGCGCCTCCCCCTCGTACCACTCCCTGTCTAACACCGCAATCCCAAGGTTTTTGTCGGCCGGTTTAATAACTATAGACCGGTCCCGACTCAACCTCTGCAGCGCGCCCAACACCCTCCTGCTCACGTTGGGCCGCGCTGGCCCCCCTATCAGCTCCGACAAACCCTCTACCCTGTCAGCTACCCCGGCCAGGTACTCCTCAACCTCCTCTGGTCCCGAACTCGGCTGCCAGCTGGGACGTGGGACTCTGAACCTGGGTACTGGTCTGCGACTGTCCCGGAACTGCCAAGCCAGCCTGACCCTCCTCTGAAACTGCTCCACCGCCTGTCTCAGCTGCTCCTGGTCTAAGGAGGGTGGTGTCGGGATGAACTTGAGGCCAAGGGCGAGGCCTGCAAGCTCATCCTCTGACAACTGCCTGCGCGAAAGGTTGTGGACAGCCACGTTAGTTAGCTTGTCCGCCACCTCCTGCACAGAGCGCCTAGCAAACAGTCTCAAAAGACGGTCGGTGTCACTCTCCTCCAGCCTCCTACGTGGCCTACTCCTCCTCCTAAGACCGACCTCCTCCCCCACGACTCCCTCTACTGCCTCGCCTGCCCCTGCTGCTCCCCCTGACCCTGTGGAGGCTGCTGTGGCAGGGGGGGCTGTGGGGGGGTCGGAGGAGGTGCTCCAAACTGCTGCTGCCGGAGGGGTGCTCCAAACTGCTGCTGCTGGAAAGAAGGCCCCAAAAAAGGCTGCTGGTAGAACTGCTGCTGCGCAGGTGCGCCAGAAAAGGGAAGGTACGAGGGACCCTGGAAGAAGGAGCCCTGGTAGGGGCCGAAAGAGGACCCCCCCTGTCCGTACTGCCAAGAAGGCTGCTGCTGCAGGCCGTAAGGACTGAACGGCTGCTGCTGCTGCTGCAGGCCGTAAGAGCTAAACGGCTGCTGCTGCTGTGCTAGGCCCTGGTAGGTAGACTGGAACGGCTGCTGTGACCAACTGTCACGGTCCTGCCACCCGCCGTCCAGTCCACCCCTCCCCCAACGACCTCCCCGGTCCCAACGTCCTCCTCTACCGCCTCTGCGGTCCTGGAAACTCGTGGAGCCACCGCCGCCCTTCCCCTTGCCTCCCTGAGTGGAGGCAGGGGCCTGCTCAGACTGACGTGTGGTCCCGGTCTGCTGCTGCTGGGTCTGCTGCTGCTGCTGCTGCTGCCGCTGCTGCTGCTGACCCTGCTGCTGCTGCCCCTGACCCTGCTGCTGCCCCTGACCCTGCTGCTGCTGCCCCTGGGTCTGTGTCACTGGGCGCTGCTGGGTCGTGGTGGCTGCTCCCTGACCCTGGGAAGGCTGTCCTGCTGCACCCTGTGTACCTGCAGTCTGTGCACCCGCTCCCTGAGTAGGCTGTGAGCGGCTGCCCTGTCGGCCCTGCGGAGTGCGGCTACGGACAGGAGAGACGGACTCCAGGCGTCCGTCTCCCGTAACCTCCCTAGTCCTGGTCCTGCCTCGCTGCTGCTGGCCTGACTGCCCTGAGCGCCGCCCCTCCAAACGGTCAAGTCGCTCGAGGATGCGACGAAGCTGCTCCCGGGCCTCGTCCTGCCAGGCGCCCACCTGCCTCTCGACCTCCCTGGGGACAAACTCTCCCATGGTCTGGTCTACAGGCGTCGCCTCTGCCTGCTCACGCCGCTCCTGACGTCGCTCTCTCTGACGCTGCTGCTGCTCCACCCGCCTGCTCTCAGTGTCTGCGTACTGCCGGTGCTGCAGCCCTACACGGAGGAGTGCGTCTGTAACAGCAGCGTGGCACCTAACCCTCAGCGTCTGGATGCTCTGCCAGATAGCAGAGCGTGCCGGCTCTGCTGCAAACTGCTGCGCAAGGAACCCCACGTCACAGGCTCTCGCAAGTCGGTCGTCTATCGTCACGAGAAGCCTGTCACGCCAGGTAGTGACCCGAGTCTGAAGCTGCTGCAAGTCCTCCACCTGTCCGCTGATAAGAATCAGCTGCATCTGTCCCTGTGCGTGCTGCTGAAGCTCCTGCATCCTAGTCCGAAGCTGCTCCTGTGCCTCTGTAGTGTGGAGGTGGAGCTCAGGTACAAAGTTCTTCGGGATGCAGTGCGCCACCTGTCCCTCAAAAAACTGCTTGCGAGTCTTCGCCAGACCCCTCTCGGTCTTAACGACGGCTCGCAAGTCAGCTGCTAGTACAGCGGACTCTGTCTCTATGAGCGCTGTAAACTCTGGTGGTACCGTCTCTGCCTGGATGGCGTCCCTAATCTCCGCCACCCTGGAAAGTAGAGCAGGGTCCGTGGCAGCCCCAGCCCCTGCACCTGCTGCGCCTGCGGCTGCTGCCCCGCCTCCAGAAGTGTCTGGGAAAAGACCACCAAAGACCTGCCGAAACAGCCTCGAGGCAAGAGTGTCTGTCTGCTCTCCCCCGGCAGTAGCCTCACCCGCCGCACCGGTGGCTGTCGGCTGCTGCTGCTGCTGCTGAGACTGCTGCTGACCCTGCCGCTGCTGACCCTGCTGCTGCTGGGCCTGCTGCTGCCCCTGCTGCTGCTGCTGCTGGCCCTGCTGCTGTGGCTCCTGCTGCGACGACGGTAGCCCAAGCCGTGGTCGCTGCTGCCGCTGCTGTGCCAAGGTCTCAGCCTCCTGTCTCAGCTGCTCGCGAATGGAAGCTGCCTCCTGTGCCAACTGCTCCCTGTCACGAGAGATCATCCTAACCCAGCTGTCTATCACGGACCGGTCTCGCAGGATATCCCCCTCAATATTCCTGAGACGAAGCTGCTGCTGTATGCTGCGCTGCCACTCGGCCTGCTGCTCCAGCGCCAACTCCGTCCGTCTGTCCTCCTCGTCCCGCTCGGTCCGTCTACGAGTACGCCGAAACTGCTCAGTAATATCAGCGACAGTAGCTGGTGCACTAGTCTCCATAGCCGCAGCCGCTGATCCCCCCTGGTCTCCTGCTCTGCCGACACCGGCTCCTCCCCCAGTGCCTGCCGCTGCAGGAACTCCGAGCCCACTCATGGTGACGTCTAAAAGACTAACGAAACGGAAAAAACTAGGAGTCTGTATCGTCTACGCCACTCTCCAACACCGGCGTCAGTGCAATAGGTTTAGGGTTTGATAGGAATGCTCAAAGAACTGAGCTGCAGTGCTGCTCCAGACAGTCTAGAGTCGCTAACGAAGAAAGTGGCTGTGACGGCCTATCGGTAGAACGAGAGACTAACGGCCTAGACTGGGAGAAGTCGAGGGGCACGAGTCTCTGAAAGTCTAGCCGATGGCACTACTCTAAGGGTAGGCTAGGGCCGCCAGGGGGCAACACGAGGCTCCCCAAGCGGCAGGAAAAAACGACGACGAAAATGGCCTAGCGGAATGCAGGAGAACTGCAAGAAACTTCTAGCTAGGCAAGCAAACTGCTGAAAAAAAACACAAGTCCTAAGCCTAGGGGTGTAGGGACATGCAATAGAGTAAGTACCTCAAGTGTAGGTAGAAGCAGTCTCGTATCGATTTCGCCACGAAGGCATCATCAGCAAGACAAGGATCTACCCTAGCAAGAGCTCCCTACTTATAGCTGTCCCAACCCAACCCAATGCCCCAAAGTGCAATGTGGGCCTAACCTGCCACCTAGGCAAAGAAACGCCCTTGCAGGCTGCCAACTGTGCAGCCTGCCAAGGGCCTACACCCAGCTGCCCATATCTCCCAATCCGGGCGCCAGATGGCGAATCCGACGGTTCCGGCAGCCTCCAGCGCCTACGGGGCTTATGGTCCGACATATAATATACAGGGTAACCGTCGGGTCCGGGTGGCGAAAACCGGAACATGCAAACAGTCCTGTTCGGGTGCCAGCCCGGCGCTCTCCAGATTCGCGCGAAACCAGAGAGCGTACCACTAAAACGCGCGTAACTCAGCGCTCGGTGCTCCGTTCGGGGCGTGTGAAGGCTCGTCGAAGAGCCCTTCATCAGCCCTACACAGTGAGACGGAGACCTGCATGTACCTAACAAGCTAACCCCCGAAACTAGAAAGAGGCCTAGTCACCCTCTCGCGTGCTGTGCCCCCTGGTACTCATAAAGGTCGGGGGCGTGTCAAGTACATGTGCCATGTGTCATGGTACCCCGAATCCCATAGATCCCCACTACGTGCAAGAGGAGAAAGGCACCCCTGTGCTCATATGGCCAGAGGTGGGGAAGGTACAATGCACATGCTACCAAAACCCAAGTCCCGTGCAAAGAGGAGAAAGGCATCCCAGTACTCATAACGGTCTGGGATGGGGAATGGTACAAGTGTGCAAGTGCGTAACCCACAAATACAACCCACAACGAACGCAGAGTGTAGTCGCAGGTACACTCACACTGCCCCAGGGCCTGACCTGTGTGGCTGAAATCAAAGAAGTCAGGCGGGAGGCTGTCGTGCATCCCTGGGTCCAGCCTGTGTGAGAAAACGAAGAGACTGGACGGGGGATGGTGCTGCTGCGACGGCCCAACCAAATGCAGCACGCCGCTGCGAAGTGCAGAAAGGTGCTCGCTCCAAGGCCCCACCCGTGTGCACGTGCTGTGAAACAAGGAGGAAGGGCGGGGAGGCGGCAGACGACTAACCGAGACGGCACGACACCCACAGAAGACAAGTGACGTGCTGTGCGGCGACGGCGAGAGAGGGGCACCCCAGTCACCTGAACGACGCTCGCACGAGTAGCTGTCGGAGCGACGGAGGTGCCCTGTAGGACACGAAAGGTGCCCTGTAGTGAGAAAGCTGCTCAAACGCTGGTGCCTCTGGAGGGAAGGCCAGCAACCTACCCCAGCGGACCTGCTGCACACTCGGGTGGAAGTCGAGAACAAGAGGGAGAACCCGCTGCTGCGCCTCCTGTTCCCCCTCCCCCCGAGCCCGTGACCTGGCAAGAAGCTCCGGGCGTCGTGCGTAGGAGATGCTGCTGAAGATCGGCTGCAAGAAAGTGTCTGGGTACCTCCGCGCCCGCAGCCGAGCGTAGAAGGCCGACCTGATACTCCTAAACCCTCGAGAACTGGACTCCCTCAGAATGTACCGCTGCAGCTCACCCAAGATGAAGCCCCTCTTGCAGTGAGAGGGGTGCGCGGAGGAGAAAGGAAAGTACTGGTACACGTTGAGCGGCTTCTGGAAGGTCGTGGTGTCCAAGATAGCCGTCGTCTGCCAGAGCTCTCCCTTGCTGAACGTGATATCCAGCAAGGTGAACTGTGAGGTGGAGATCTCGTGGGTCAGTCGAATAGTCTGCTCCAACCCACCAAACGCCCCCACCCACTCCAGCAGCCGCTCCCGTGTCCCCGTCCAAACCACCACCCCGTCGTCTATGAACCTGCGGTGGAGAAGGACGTGCTGCGACAACTCGGGCTCTGTCTCTAGCAACCTCTCGTCTAACCAAGCCATGAACAGAACCGCGTAGATCACTGCTACAGGCGTGCCCATAGCAGTCCCCCGAACCTGCCGCCAAAAACGACCACCAAACTCGAGGTGGTTCTGCCTCATGACCAACCCCAACAGCTGCACCAGTGTGTCTGCTACCCCCCCTGAAATCCTCTCCTGTGCTGCCCACCGAAGCAACCACCTCTCGATGCAGCTGATACCTGCGTCGATAGGGATCGACGGGTAGAGGCTCTCAACGTCGTAGGTCAAGAAGAGAGCCTCTGCTGGCACACGAAGGTCCTCTAGCTGGTGCAAAAGTGCAAGTGAGTCTGGAAGGTGCGAGGGTGAAAACCGTAGTAAAGGGCGGAGGTAGTGGTCTAAGACTGCCGATGCATGCTCAAAAACCCAGAGCGTGGACGAGCAGATAGGCCTGCCGGCTACTGGAGTCTTGTGCAGCTTCGGTAGCAAGTAGAATCTGCACACCCGAAACCGCTCCCAAGCCCTGGTAGCCCGCTCCAAACACGGAGTGCGCGGCTGCAGGATAAAGTCTAACACCTGCGACGGCAACCCTGCCAAGCGTGCCTGCTCTGCCCACCGACACAACTGCCCCCAAAGTCCCTGCAACGGCACCATAGCCACCGGCTCGTAAACCGCCCTGTCCCCCAGCTGCCTCAGCGCCTCCCCCTCGTACCACTCCCTGTCTAACACCGCAATCCCAAGGTTTTTGTCGGCCGGTTTAATAACTATAGACCGGTCCCGACTCAACCTCTGCAGCGCGCCCAACACCCTCCTGCTCACGTTGGGCCGCGCTGGCCCCCCTATCAGCTCCGACAAACCCTCTACCCTGTCAGCTACCCCGGCCAGGTACTCCTCAACCTCCTCTGGTCCCGAACTCGGCTGCCAGCTGGGACGTGGGACTCTGAACCTGGGTACTGGTCTGCGACTGTCCCGGAACTGCCAAGCCAGCCTGACCCTCCTCTGAAACTGCTCCACCGCCTGTCTCAGCTGCTCCTGGTCTAAGGAGGGTGGTGTCGGGATGAACTTGAGGCCAAGGGCGAGGCCTGCAAGCTCATCCTCTGACAACTGCCTGCGCGAAAGGTTGTGGACAGCCACGTTAGTTAGCTTGTCCGCCACCTCCTGCACAGAGCGCCTAGCAAACAGTCTCAAAAGACGGTCGGTGTCACTCTCCTCCAGCCTCCTACGTGGCCTACTCCTCCTCCTAAGACCGACCTCCTCCCCCACGACTCCCTCTACTGCCTCGCCTGCCCCTGCTGCTCCCCCTGACCCTGTGGAGGCTGCTGTGGCAGGGGGGGCTGTGGGGGGGTCGGAGGAGGTGCTCCAAACTGCTGCTGCCGGAGGGGTGCTCCAAACTGCTGCTGCTGGAAAGAAGGCCCCAAAAAAGGCTGCTGGTAGAACTGCTGCTGCGCAGGTGCGCCAGAAAAGGGAAGGTACGAGGGACCCTGGAAGAAGGAGCCCTGGTAGGGGCCGAAAGAGGACCCCCCCTGTCCGTACTGCCAAGAAGGCTGCTGCTGCAGGCCGTAAGGACTGAACGGCTGCTGCTGCTGCAGGCCGTAAGAGCTAAACGGCTGCTGCTGCTGTGCTAGGCCCTGGTAGGTAGACTGGAACGGCTGCTGTGACCAACTGTCACGGTCCTGCCACCCCGCCGTCCAGTCCACCCCTCCCCCAACGACCTCCCCGGTCCCAACGTCCTCCTCTACCGCCTCTGCGGTCCTGGAAACTCGTGGAGCCACCGCCGCCCTTCCCCTTGCCTCCCTGAGTGGAGGCAGGGGCCTGCTCAGACTGACGTGTGGTCCCGGTCTGCTGCTGCTGGGTCTGCTGCTGCTGCTGCTGCTGCCGCTGCTGCTGCTGACCCTGCTGCTGCTGCCCCTGACCCTGCTGCTGCCCCTGACCCTGCTGCTGCTGCCCCTGGGTCTGTGTCACTGGGCGCTGCTGGGTCGTGGTGGCTGCTCCCTGACCCTGGGAAGGCTGTCCTGCTGCACCCTGTGTACCTGCAGTCTGTGCACCCGCTCCCTGAGTAGGCTGTGAGCGGCTGCCCTGTCGGCCCTGCGGAGTGCGGCTACGGACAGGAGAGACGGACTCCAGGCGTCCGTCTCCCGTAACCTCCCTAGTCCTGGTCCTGCCTCGCTGCTGCTGGCCTGACTGCCCTGAGCGCCGCCCCTCCAAACGGTCAAGTCGCTCGAGGATGCGACGAAGCTGCTCCCGGGCCTCGTCCTGCCAGGCGCCCACCTGCCTCTCGACCTCCCTGGGGACAAACTCTCCCATGGTCTGGTCTACAGGCGTCGCCTCTACCTGCTCACGCCGCTCCTGACGTCGCTCTCTCTGACGCTGCTGCTGCTCCACCCGCCTGCTCTCAGTGTCTGCGTACTGCCGGTGGCTATGGTGCCGTTGCAGGGACTTTGGGGGCAGTTGTGTCGGTGGGCAGAGCAGGCACGCCTGGCAGGGTTGCCGTCGCAGGTGTTAGACTTTATCCTGCAGCCGCGCACTCCGTGTTTGGAGCGGGCTACCAGGGCTTGGGAGCGGTTTCGGGTGTGCAGATTCTACTTGCTACCGAAGCTGCACAAGACTCCAGTAGCCGGCAGGCCTATCTGCTCGTCCACGCTCTGGGTTTTTGAGCATGCATCGGCAGTCTTAGACCACTACCTCCGCCCTTTACTACGGTTTTCACCCTCGCACCTTCCAGACTCACTTGCACTTTTGCACCAGCTAGAGGACCTTCGTGTGCCAGCAGAGGCTCTCTTCTTGACCTACGACGTTGAGAGCCTCTACCCGTCGATCCCTATCGACGCAGGTATCAGCTGCATCGAGAGGTGGTTGCTTCGGTGGGCAGCACAGGAGAGGATTTCAGGGGGGGTAGCAGACACACTGGTGCAGCTGTTGGGGTTGGTCATGAGGCAGAACCACCTCGAGTTTGGTGGTCGTTTTTGGCGGCAGGTTCGGGGGACTGCTATGGGCACGCCTGTAGCAGTGATCTACGCGGTTCTGTTCATGGCTTGGTTAGACGAGAGGTTGCTAGAGACAGAGCCCGAGTTGTCGCAGCACGTCCTTCTCCACCGCAGGTTCATAGACGACGGGGTGGTGGTTTGGACGGGGACACGGGAGCGGCTGCTGGAGTGGGTGGGGGCGTTTGGTGGGTTGGAGCAGACTATTCGACTGACCCACGAGATCTCCACCTCACAGTTCACCTTGCTGGATATCACGTTCAGCAAGGGAGAGCTCTGGCAGACGACGGCTATCTTGGACACCACGACCTTCCAGAAGCCGCTCAACGTGTACCAGTACTTTCCTTTCTCCTCCGCGCACCCCTCTCACTGCAAGAGGGGCTTCATCTTGGGTGAGCTGCAGCGGTACATTCTGAGGGAGTCCAGTTCTCGAGGGTTTAGGAGTATCAGGTCGGCCTTCTACGCTCGGCTGCGGGCGCGGAGGTACCCAGACACTTTCTTGCAGCCGATCTTCAGCAGCATCTCCTACGCACGACGCCCGGAGCTTCTTGCCAGGTCACGGGCTCGGGGGGAGGGGGAACAGGAGGCGCAGCAGCGGGTTCTCCCTCTTGTTCTCGACTTCCACCCGAGTGTGCAGCAGGTCCGCTGGGGTAGGTTGCTGGCCTTCCCTCCAGAGGCACCAGCGTTTGAGCAGCTTTCTCACTACAGGGCACCTTTCGTGTCCTACAGGGCACCTCCGTCGCTCCGACAGCTACTCGTGCGAGCGTCGTTCAGGTGACTGGGGTGCCCCTCTCTCGCCGTCGCCGCACAGCACGTCACTTGTCTTCTGTGGGTGTCGTGCCGTCTCGGTTAGTCGTCTGCCGCCTCCCCGCCCTTCCTCCTTGTTTCACAGCACGTGCACACGGGTGGGGCCTTGGAGCGAGCACCTTTCTGCACTTCGCAGCGGCGTGCTGCATTTGGTTGGGCCGTCGCAGCAGCACCATCCCCCGTCCAGTCTCTTCGTTTTCTCACACAGGCTGGACCCAGGGATGCACGACAGCCTCCCGCCTGACTTCTTTGATTTCAGCCACACAGGTCAGGCCCTGGGGCAGTGTGAGTGTACCTGCGACTACACTCTGCGTTCGTTGTGGGTTGTATTTGTGGGTTACGCACTTGCACACTTGTACCATTCCCCATCCCAGACCGTTATGAGTACTGGGATGCCTTTCTCCTCTTTGCACGGGACTTGGGTTTTGGTAGCATGTGCATTGTACCTTCCCCACCTCTGGCCATATGAGCACAGGGGTGCCTTTCTCCTCTTGCACGTAGTGGGGATCTATGGGATTCGGGGTACCATGACACATGGCACATGTACTTGACACGCCCCCGACCTTTATGAGTACCAGGGGGCACAGCACGCGAGAGGGTGACTAGGCCTCTTTCTAGTTTCGGGGGTTAGCTTGTTAGGTACATGCAGGTCTCCGTCTCACTGTGTAGGGCTGATGAAGGGCTCTTCGACGAGCCTTCACACGCCCCGAACGGAGCACCGAGCGCTGAGTTACGCGCGTTTTAGTGGTACGCTCTCTGGTTTCGCGCGAATCTGGAGAGCGCCGGGCTGGCACCCGAACAGGACTGTTTGCATGTTCCGGTTTTCGCCACCCGGACCCGACGGTTACCCTGTATATTATATGTCGGACCATAAGCCCCGTAGGCGCTGGAGGCTGCCGGAACCGTCGGATTCGCCATCTGGCGCCCGGATTGGGAGATATGGGCAGCTGGGTGTAGGCCCTTGGCAGGCTGCACAGTTGGCAGCCTGCAAGGGCGTTTCTTTGCCTAGGTGGCAGGTTAGGCCCACATTGCACTTTGGGGCATTGGGTTGGGTTGGGACAGCTATAAGTAGGGAGCTCTTGCTAGGGTAGATCCTTGTCTTGCTGATGATGCCTTCGTGGCGAAATCGATACGAGACTGCTTCTACCTACACTTGAGGTACTTACTCTATTGCATGTCCCTACACCCCTAGGCTTAGGACTTGTGTTTTTTTTCAGCAGTTTGCTTGCCTAGCTAGAAGTTTCTTGCAGTTCTCCTGCATTCCGCTAGGCCATTTTCGTCGTCGTTTTTTCCTGCCGCTTGGGGAGCCTCGTGTTGCCCCCTGGCGGCCCTAGCCTACCCTTAGAGTAGTGCCATCGGCTAGACTTTCAGAGACTCGTGCCCCTCGACTTCTCCCAGTCTAGGCCGTTAGTCTCTCGTTCTACCGATAGGCCGTCACAGCCACTTTCTTCGTTAGCGACTCTAGACTGTCTGGAGCAGCACTGCAGCTCAGTTCTTTGAGCATTCCTATCAAACCCTAAACCCTAAACCCTAAACCCTAAACCCTAAACCCTAAACCCTAAACCATAAACCCTAAACCCTAAACCCTAAACCCTAAACCGGGTTTAGGGTTTAGCCCACCGTGTGTTCAACCCACCGTGTGTTCAAACCCACCGTGTTTTTAAACCCACCGTGTGTTAAACCCACCGTGTGTTAAACCCACCGTGTGTTCAACCACCGTGTCTTCAACCCACCGTGAGTTAAACCCACCGTGTGTTCAACCCACTGTGTGTTCAACCCACCGTGTGTAAAACCCACCGTGTGTTTAACCCACCGTGTGTTCAACCCACCGTGTGTTCAACCCCACCGTGTGTTAAACCCACCGTGTGTTAAACCCACCGTGTGTTAAACCCACCGTGTTGTTTAACCCACCGTGTGTTAAACCTACCGTGTGTTCAACACACCGTGTGTTCAACCCACCGTGTGTTCAACCCACCGTGTGCTAAACCTACCGTGTGTTCAACCACCGTGTGTTAAACCCACCGTGTGTTAACCCACCGTGTGTCTAACCCACCGTGTGTTCAACCCACCGTGTGTTCAACCCACCGTGTGTTAAACCCACCAGTGTGTTTAACCCCACCGTGTGTTCAACCCACCGTGTGTTCAACCACCGTGTGTTAAACCCACCGTGTGTTAACCACCGTTCAACCACCGTGTGTTCAACCCACCGTGTGTTCAACCCACCGTGTGTTAAAACCAACCGTGTGTTAACCACCGTGTGTTAAACCCCACCGTGTGTTCAACCCTACCGTGTGTTCAACCCACCGTGTGTTAAACCTACCGTGTTTTCAACCCACCGTGTGTCTAACCTACCGTGGTAGTTACCCACCGTGTGTTAACCCCCCTGTGTGTCAAACCACCGTGTGTTCAACCCACAGTGTGTCAACCCACCGTGCGTTCAACCCACCGTGTGTTCAACCCACCGTGTGTTATACCCACCGTGTGTTTAACCCACTGTGTGTTAACCTACCCGTGTGTTCAACCCAACGTGAGTTAAACCCACCGTGTGTTCAACCCACTGTGTGTTCAACCCACCGTGTTGTAAAACCCACCGTGTGTTTAACCCACCGTGTGTTTAACCCACCTGTATGTTAAACCTACGTGTGTTCATACCCACCGTGTGTTCAACCCACCGTGTGTTCAACCCACCGTGTTGTTTCAACCCACCGTGTGTTCAACCCACCGTTGTGTTAAACCCACCGTGTTTTCAACCCACCGTGTGTTCAACCACCGTGTGTTCAACCCACCGTGTGTTTAAACCCCACCGTGTGTTAAAAACCACCGTGTGTTTAACCCACCGTGTGTTCAACCCACCGTGTGTTCAACCCACCGTGTTTTAAACCCACCGTGTGTTCAACCCACCGTGTGTTAAACCCACCGTGTGTTCAACCCACCGTGTGTTAACCCAGTGTGTTCAACCCACTGTGTGTTAAACCAGTGTAGGCAATGGGCCTGCCTTACAGTGTGTTCAACCCACCGTTTTAACCCACGGCGGGTTCAACCCACCGTGAGTTCAACCCACCGTGTGTTCAACCCAGTGTGTTTGGCATACCAAGTGTTCAACCCACAGTGTCTTCCCTAGTGCCCCTACCGGGGGGTCTAACCCACCGTGTTTCAACCCACCGTGTATTTAACAAACACCAGTGTGCAACTCCCCCCGTGAGTATCCAACCCTAGTGGTTAACCCACCCTGTGTTACCATTTGTGCTTCACCCACCCTGTGTTTCAACCCACCTGCCCCCTCCCGTGTGTTAAACCCAGTGAGTTCAACCCACCGTGTTTCCCACCTCCCCTCAACCCAGTGTGTTAAACCCAGTGTGTTCTAACCCACCGTGTGTTAAACCCACCGTGTGTTCAAACCACCGTGTGTTTCAACCCACCGTGTGTCAACCCACCGTGTGTTTAACCCACCGTGTGTTTAAACCCACAGTGTGTTAACCCACCGTGTGTTAAACCCCCCGTGTGTTAAACCCACCGTGTGTTCAACCCACCGTGTGTTCAACCCACCGTGTGTTAAACCCACCGTGTGTTAAACCCACCGTGTGTTCAAACCCACCGTGTGTTAAACCACCGTGTGTTCTAACCCACCGTGTGTTAAACCACCGTGTGTTAAACCCCACGTGTGTTTCAAACCCACCGTGTGTTAAACCCACCGTGTGTTCAACACACCGGTGTTTCAACCCACGTGTGTTCAACCCTACCGTGTGTTAATACCACCGTGTGTTCAACCCACGTGTGTTAAACCACCGTGTGTTCAACCCACCGTGTGTTCAACCCACCGTGTGTTCATACCCACGTGTGTTCAACCCACCGTGTGTTCAACCCACCGTGTGTTAACCCACCGGTGTTTAACCCACTGTGTTAACCTACCGTGTGTTTCAACCACCGTGGTTCAAAACCACCGTGTGTTCAACCCACCGTGTGTTCAACCCACCGTGTGTAAACCCACCGTGTGTTAACCCACCGTGTGTTTAACCCCCGTGTGTTAAACCTACCGTGTGTTCAACCCACCGTGTGTTCAACCCACCGTGTGTTCAACCCACCGTGTGTTCAACCCACCGTGTGTTCAACCCAGGCCCCACCGTGTGGTCAACCCACCGTGTTTAGGGTTTATTTGTGCAAACACCAGAGCTGCAGCTCCCCCCGTGAAGAGTACCGGGACCCTAGAGTGTTAACCCACCGTGTGCTTAGCCATTTCGTGCTTCACTCACCGTGTTTTCATTACTGTTCCCCCCTCCCGTGTTTCAACCCAGTGTGTTCACCCAACCCAGTTTCGCACTCCCCTCAACAGGCACTTAACCCACCGTGAGTTCTAACCCACTGTGTGTTAAAGCAGTAATAGGCAATGGGCCTGCCTTGCAGTGGGCACTACACCCTGTTTAAGGGGGTGCGGCGGGTTCAACCCACCGTGAGTTCAAGCCCACCGTGTCGTTCAACCCACCATGTGTTCAACCCAAGGTGTTGGCTACAGGTGTTCCCTAAACCCACCGGGGGTCTAACCCACCGTTTAGGGTTTACCCACCGTGTGTTAAACACCAGAGTGCAGCTCCCCCCGGAAGAGTATCCGGGACCCTAGAGGCTATACCCACCCTGTGCTTAAGCCATTTGTGTTCAACCCACCGTGTTTTCACCCACTGCCCCCACCGTGATTTTAACCCACCGTGTGTTCACCCACCCAGTTTCGCACTCCCCTCAACAGTGTGTTAACCCAGTGTGTTCTAACCCACTGTGTGTAAAGCAGTAATAGGCAATGGGCCTGCCTTGCAGTGGGCACTACACCCTTTTAAGGGGGTGGGCGGGTACACCCCGGGGTGAGTTCAAGCTCAGGTCTCGACAGCCCAGGGTCCCTGGCATACCAAGGAGCCGGCTACAGGGTTTCCCTAGGCCCCTGAGGGGGGGGTCTAGGGCAGGTTTAGGGTTTATTTAATGCAAACAGCCAGAGCTGCAGCTCCCCCCGGAAGAGTTCCGGGTTTACCCTAGAGGCTATAGGCACGCCTCAGCTTAGCCATTTCGGCTTCACTCGCCCTCCTTTTCATTACTGCCCCCTCCCGGATTTTTGCCCAGGAGGTCACCCAACCCAGTTTCGCACTCCCCTCACAGGGTTTAGCCCAGGGTTTAGGGTTTAGGGTTTAGGGTTTAGGGTTTAGGGTTTAGGGTTTGGTTTGCAGTGGGTTTAGGGTTTACCCTTTTAGGGGTGCGGGGGTAGGGTTTAGGGGTGAGGTTTAGGGTTTAGGGTTCGAGGGCCCAGCATCCCTGGCATACCAGGGAGCCGGCTACAGGCTCTTCCCTAGGCCCCTGAGGGGGGGGTCTAGAGGCAGGTTTAGGGTTTATTTAGGGCAAAGGGCCAGAGCTGCAGCTCCCCCCGGAAGAGTATCCGGGACCCTAGAGGCTATAGGCACGCCTCAGCTTAGCCATTTCGAGCTTTACTCG